CCTATCACTGCGCGCACAACGCGCAACGTCTGCACTGATAACTACACGTTATCATTCCGAATCTTGTACTTACAAACAACTCGTTTTAATAATAAATGCACTACGAGTATATGAACCGATCGAAAAATCATAGTTGATTTATTTAGAATTCATAAAAACATTATTATGGTTCCTTACTGATTGTTTATTTTGCGCAATGGTAACAAGTATATTCTGGAATAAAATAAATCGATCTTGTTACGCCCAGTCAACTCGAATATTGTTCAAGAAAACTAAATTTATCTGATGAATAAACGAGCTATATGTTGAAAACAATACGCACCGCTTATAAAGACTACTGAAGCGAAGATTATGGCGCTTGCTTTAGGCAAGTACAGGCGCGGCCGCCGCCGAGCGAAGAAACTAATGACACGAAGCCGCGAGTCACTTGTAAGTAATACGTCTATTTAATAATTTACCGCTTTGGTATACATATGTCATATTGACATAATACTCTACCAGAACTTTTATAGAACAAACTAAAGATAAATTGTATAAGGTATAATTAAAAATACAACATGTACAAATAAATAACACGAAACGCAAAATAGTTGACCAAATTTTTTTTTTTATATTAAGTTGTATAAAATTTCAAGGAATAATAAATAACATAATTTGATTATTAAGTACCTTAGGATTGGACTACTATTATTGTCCAATCCTAAGGTACTTAAAATCCTTTTCAATATATTAATTATTATAAATAAATTTCATTCTCATTTGCTCTCAAATGTTTGTTCCCCACTAGCTATTTTAGTATTGATTAGAAAAATGAGGAAGAAAGATTTAAAATCGACGAGACGATCACCTGCGCGCGCGCTCCCGGGGTGCAATTATACTTGTGAGGCAGTCAGTTCCTCTTTAACATAGAGTCTCACATGCAACGACATTTCACTACACATGACAACAACCCTCCTTTTCTTCAAACAGAGCATTGACCTCACAATCAGCGCTCCCCTCATGAATTCCAAAACTATTGAAACCACATGTTTCTGTCCTACCTCTTATGCTTTCTTCCTATTTCCGCAGTGAAATTATCTCTAAGTACACAAAATAAAATAAATATTTAGTTTTAGTCGCCCTAAAAAAATTATATAGGTACTTAAGGCCAACATTTAAATTAACATCGCAAGTATCTGGTTAACAAAAAAGTTAAAATCTAAGAGTTTTTAACTAGAACAAAACTTACGTTAAAGAGGCTTTACTTCAATTTCTGCTTTGAGACGAAAGATTGTAGTAAATTCGATTTTATCTTTAAACTCATCTCGCACTGACATCGTGTCTGGCAATGATTACGTAAGTAAATCAATCGAGTTCAAATATCGCACGGGCCATCTCATTTTCTGGTCGAGACACTTGCATAATTGGACCGATTTGCACAGAGTGGCCGCATTGAGCATCGAAGTAGGAGCGTATGTTGCGCAAACTAACAATCATCGATAGTTGGCGATGAAACAGTGAAATCAATATCTCATCGTAACTTACTTCATAACTCGTTTTCATGCTCATGGTGAAAAGCTATAAGGTACATCTCACTTTTATTCATTCATTATTTGGTGAAGTCTTATAAAATACAAATCCTGACTTCTTACCGCATAATTAGAGTAGGTACGGTATTATATCCGAATGTATAGTTTATTTAGTCGATGTAATTCTAATAAAGAATTTCCTCCGCAGTTGCAAAGATTTGCAGTAAAAATTGTTAATACTTAACATACAACATCTATGTACCTACATATACTTACCTATTATATTATGTGCCGTACGTAGATATCGTAAGTCAGATTACTTATGACTTATGAGCATAAATTATCATTATTTTCTAAATTTTTATGTATAAAAGATATTTAAAAAAATCATACTTTCAATCTAAAATAAAATCAGCAGAACTATATTATAAAAAATGTAGAATAACTTGTTTGTTGTATTTGAACGTACCTATATCTTTTTTTTCTTTCTTTAGTCACGGTAATGTTTATAATATACATACATATAACATTACCGTGATTTAGTGGCTTGCAATACATTCTGCCAGTGTCACTTCTCTGGAACTACCAATCTTTTTTAAAGTACATGTCTCTACTAGTCCGTAATTATAGTGATATGAAATATTTTTTATTTTATCCTACCTGAGAAAAATAAGTATATATAATTTTATATTATTAACAAATTAAATATATACTTGTAAGAATATACACATTGAAATTACAAAGGATAAAACCGAGAAAGTTGAATTAAAATTTTTACCTATCTGTTTATACATTTATTATAACGTTTTGATATGCTAAAAAATTACGATTGAAATAGGTATCTGCGAACTTTATATAATGAATAATATATTTTAGAGCGTATAATTCCTGTTACTAAACTTAAAATCGATTACTTATCTGCAATAATTACTTTTGTGTTAAATTATTACTGCAGTTACTTAATTTAGATAGAAAAACGTCCCCTCCCCCTAACATTCACCTTGTCTAGGTGGAGGGGCTCACTAACGTCCGACAGTTCAGCTGGGCGCAAAGCCAAGCAACGCACTGAGAGGTGATCCACTTCGTTTGGCGGTGTACCACGTGGGTTGTTCCTGCTACTTCTCGTCGAAGCAATCCCATGGTTGTTGTGGTCTGCTTCGATAGACCTGCCGTCGAGGCGTCCGCGTCGTGGTTGAGTGCGTAAGCGATCCTGCGACGCCCCATTGGACGGGGGAGGTTTTGTTGGGTTTTAATGGGAAGTACTGGCTTTTCTAGCTGGTGAGTCCCACATAACCACTTGTGTGTCTATAAGTGGTATGCGTAAATGCATTTCCCAACTTAAAAAAAAAAGATAGAAAAATTTCGTAAGTATGAAAATCATTTTTCAATGAACCTTATTCCAATACACTTCCGCCCGCGCTCAGCTGCACCCGGGCCTGCCGTCATAATTCTAGTTACCTACTCATATTTTCTCGCCGCGCAGTAGTTACACCTACATACAGTATAGTATTTGCATGTCATATTTAATCATTTCAGAGCGCCACCGGCCAGTCGTTCATAATATTCACGATTAAGAATAATTAGATCAATGCCCAAGGAGAGAGATTAATTTACTGAACGATTAATAAATCTAAACAAATTATTAGAGTACCTACAAAATAAAAATGTAAAAGCTATTAATTATCACGGAAGAAAGTGGAATATTAAAAACTTTTATTTATATCGATTTCAGTATATCGTGCGTGCGGTTAAAGATGCAGGTAGTACTTTATAATGATGCTATGTTGTGTACCTACACTGAACCTGCATCTTGATGACAGGAATCACAGTACAATTGACGAGTCACTGTTACTTTCGTCTTTTGAATAAGAAAGTATGTAGGTAGGTACGTGAAAATCCACCTAAACTAAAACAATACTATTTCGTAATACTTTCTGAGATTTACTAAGCAACACTATTACTATATTCTTTTACAAATAAAAAAATGAAAAATATTATTCTGATATGCTGTAAAATTCCATATTCAATTATAAAACTAATTAAAATTATAAAAATGTTTAAAGTTAAAAAATATTGTAAGGTAATTGGAGCAATTTTCATTTTGTTAATTGTGGGTAGGCTGTCTGTAACAACTATAGCTTCGAGACATCTAACACCTCAGTCTCTCCCGTGACCATGAACGCTGTAAAGCATTGGAAACGTCGGGAACCAAAAATCCAAATAAACCCGCGAAAAAATTCGTAAGGATTTTTTTTATTTAAAATACTATTTCGTGTTTAAATAATAAAAAGAATTTGCTACTTTGACCCGAAGTAAAGTATGCAGCAATGATTTGAAGAAAAAGAAATAATAATGATGTCTAAGTTCACTCGATCACTCCTTAACAGTCAAAGGCATTGGTTGTTTGACCTACGATAGTTGATTTCCGATAAACGCAGAGATAAGGTTGTGAATCAACAATAATATATATCTGAACAATAAACTAAAACAATTTCGAATTGTTCTATCGTAGCGACATGGCGCTTTGTCTGTGAAATAAACTAGACAAAGATAATTTCAGTTGTCTTTATAGCCGACCGGTCTTGTGAGTCACCGTGATTGTTTAATTCAAGCTACTAAACGTGTCGCGGCGCATGCGCACAATCACAACGGGCCATATTTTCATCAGGCTAATTGTGTTTCAACCAATAAATAATTTTATAGTTATGTAACAAATACTACGTACGCGTAATGAACATATTACTATCTCTACATTTTACAATAATTCCTTTTTTCATATGCAATATAATAAAAATATAAAGTCTAATTAATGTGCCTGGTAGCTTATGTATGCAATTCTTTTGTTTACAGCATAAAGTAAAGAATTTGGGTGATTATTAAGTGTTTTAACGTCTTTACCACTCACGAATGTTCCGGTATTTTGACAACTCGACGATGCAATTTATCGTCGATCTCAGTTTACTTGATTGATGATTGATCAACCTCTCAAAAATTAAGTAAGTACTTCATCCTACTTATACATAATATGCTTATGAATACTTAAATACAAACTGAATTTATTAAATATAACTCATACTTATGTAGATTTTTTTAAATATATATGTAATTATATTTATAAACAGATATTCTTTGTAAAATTTTACATCATATTTGTTAAAAGAATTATTTCTTTATATCGTGTTATGTTTTTTAAAACAAACTAATGTATTTGTACTACATATTGTGTACTAAACTACTGAACTTAGTGGAAATCATATCATAAATCTCAGCATAATCGGTGTACATACATTAAAAAAATACCAATCAAATTGAGAAACTCCTCCTTTTTGAAGTCGGTTAAAAACGTGTAATCATGAGCTAAAGCTCAAAAGACGCGACCACGCATCTCTTAAACTAGTAGATAATCGCGGGGGCATGTACCTGTTGCGTTGCGCGTTCCTTTCATGGCATATTCTTCTTGTTATAGAGAGCACACGACACAATGCGGGTTTATCTGGACGCATTATGAAAAGCATCTCCGCACCGAGATCGCGCGATAATAGTCGTCGTAGTCGGTTTACAAAAGTGTATGGTGAGGTGCGGCGGAGGACCGAGCGGGCGCTGCGACGAACGATCGGCTGCGAAGAGAACGTGAGCCGTAAGGTGATCTCGTACCAACTTGACCTTTGTACGTTGTAGGCAACCGCTGTCGATCGTCTTTGTCTCGCGGCTTGTCAGCATCCTCTTAAGAAGGAACTTTGTTGTCTTTCTCCAAAAGAAAGTGGGCAGAGATATCGATGTAAGCATTGTTCTCTCTTCGAGATATTTCAATATAACGCTGCTGTCTATCGAACACAACTTTTTGTTAAACGTATGAATGGATCTTTTTGTGTACATCACGACAGCAGGTGTGGTTTACAAAATTCTATCTTTGAATATTATAAAGTACATATATACAAGTAAAATGAGTTATTATAATTTATAGATTGACGTAAGTTATTGGCATATGCGTAAATATGGCACTGTTTTCTATCCCTACCCCTCAAGGGATATAGCGACAAGCGTGAAGTATGTGATCAACATATTGCTTGTTAACTTTTTTGTAATTAAATTGTGTCATCTCCAAATTTTCATGCAATTTTCCCTTACAAAAGGAAAACACAATCTTTTCTTCTTTCCTATACTTAGGTACCTCTCACTTACTAGCGGTTCAGGACGCACTACCTACCTGGTGTGGCGTGAGACCTCGGATTTGAGCCCGCATCACTTGATTTTCCAAACGGGCACGTCATCAATGTACTACCAGCGCTACAATACATTAATTATATAATTAATTTATAAATTTATTTCTGCTACTTTTACATATATTACATATATAAATAAAGTACATATGTACATATCTATAAATATCAAACTTGTAAATCAAGGTTACACTATTATCCCATCAATCGGATAGAAAGCGATCAGTGACTGCATTTAAAGGAAGTTAGTGAGCTATTGTCAGTAATAAAACGATAACATTCCAAGTAAGATTATCTTTTATATGGTCACCCATTTTAAATGAGCGATGAAGAGACATGAGATGTGTCATCGGAAATCAGCATAGAGGACGAAGCGCTCGTCAAACGACACTTGGTGCGGCCGCGGGCAGCCGTGAGATCGTCGCTTTGAGTCGTGAACACGCATCCAAATAAAGGCTTATTAACTTCATTCACATGCTTATGCACAGAGGCTTTATTTCTATAGAAATATAAAGCTACATCCTTTTTATTTTTGCTGGTATACTTTTTATTCCTTTATTATAATGTGTAGGTGTATTATATATATGTATAACTACAAATGTGTCATTCAGAAGAGACATAATTTTATTTAAAAATGTTTACTACTATTACGTGTTACATATTTTTCATGTTGAATTAATCATAATTGTCTAGCAATAGCGATGGAAGTAAGAACAATGGAATAAAAACTAAATGCGATACTCAGTTATTAGCGAACATAATATAATTTAAGCTTTATTTTGAATTCAATTCAAATAAACCATTTAAATAATAGTGTAGCCCCTTTGAGATTAATGAACCCAATTATATCAGAATCAAGAGAGCAGGTATCACAGATGACGCTCGTAGCCATCGACTAAAAGGGCCAATTCTAACAGATGCACCAATTTAATTTGTGTCACCTAGTTCGGCCTCCGTTAACTGTTAGTAATGCCAAAGTATAAAAATGGTCAGCTGGCATATTTTTTACTAACGCAGTCTCCGCCTTTTATTCGTCTGCTGATCCATATGCTTCGTCTGTAACGAATATATTCGTTTTATTACCGTAGACTAAACGGTGATCATTTCACATTATGAATATGAAAATAGAATAGATTATGTTATATTATAATTTCATATTATAATTGATAAAAAAATCGATATAATTTGATACCTACTTACTTAATTTAATAAAAACAAAAACGTCAGAAAAATTTATACTATGTATACTTTTAAATACTACTAAAAATTAAAACTTAAATGAATTTAAGTGCAGGTATGTACATTTTGGTTTCTTATTTTACGAACGTAGCGTACACTCGCATACACCATAAGCGCGTAACAACGGACATCTTTGTAACATACGAGGTATTACATGAATGTGTAATCAGAGAGTTTATTGATCGCGGTAAGATTAACACCACTTCGCATTGTCTGACTTGGCACGTCTTAAATTTTCCCTTTTTGTGCCAATAATTTAAGGAATTCACGAATTAATTTTTTATTCTTCACCTTTATGAACGTCGTCGTTTATCACACTGGGCGAGAATTATTCCTTCTTAAGTTGCGTCTTCGTAACTGTTTTTACTTGTAAATTATTCTTTCCTCGTATTTCAATTTATAAATGGGTCGTGAGGAACTGTGTACCTGTTCAATTGGATTATAAAGTCACTTTATAACCACAAGAAAAACAATAAAACTAAATATATAAATTGTCGTAATCTAATTTTTTTTAAACGCCTAGCTGATATGTAGTTTTTTTTTACTAAAGTAATTGTGCTATATGAGAGGGGTGGCAGATTCCAAGCGTGTGTGCATCCTGCGCCCCCGCACGTGCCAACCACGCGGCCGGAAGCGCCGCGCCATCGGCACACTTATCGCGACCTTCGCATATATACATTTATTCATGTGAATCTCTCACAATTATGATAAAAATAAAAAATAACCGAATATATTATATACTTAATAGCGTCAATCTGACTGATATATAGATTCGACGTCTGAAGTGTGAGAGTGGATAAGTGTATTTTATAAGACATAAATCTATACATATAATAAAATTGTAACTAAGCCAAATCTGTACATTAAATATTTTTTGGAAAATCTTATTGAAATAGACATTATCATCGATACAGAGGCCGAATCTATAGTTTTTAGAATTTTTGTCAGTCTGTCAGTCTGTCTCTCTGTCTGTTACCGCATCACGGAAAAACTACTGGATGGATTTTGATGAAAGGTACCTCTCACTTACTAGCGGTTCAGGACGCACTACCTACCTGGTGTGGCGTGAGACCTCGGATTTGAGCCCGCATCACTTGATTTTCCAAACGGGCACGTCATCAATGTACTACCAGCGCTACAATACTAATAATACCCGGGTCAACATACAGGATACTTTTTACCCCAGGAAAACGTCTAATTTCTGAGGAAAAATACAAAAACTGCAATGTAAGAGTATACTAATATGTAAAACGTAAGAATTTGGTATTTGGTCATCTGAACCCGGGCGGAGCCGCGGGTAATGCTAGTAATAAATAATGCAACCATTATCTCACGTGACAATAATTGCAAAGTGGTATTTAAAGTAATAATATGTATTATTTACTATATCCATAAATCGAGAACATGAATGTCGTCTCAAATTGAGAAACACTAAGATTTCAATCCATGGCTATCATTATATTTGCATAGGTACTGTTGACAGAACTTATTCCGATAAGGAAACACAGGTTGAGGCTTATCTTGTTTCGAGGACGTCGCTCGTCGCTCGGACTTCGGACGTGCGCTATCGAACTAGCATATATTTTTATATCACATCCCTGATCATGATCGACCTCGAATATCAGTTACTAACAGATAAACTATCTAGGTATGTAAAAGAGAAAATCTGCGTGATACACACACACACAAACACACACACACATCTGTCCTATAATATAATTATTGCGGAGGTGCGTTAGATTTTATAAATATTAAAGAAAATGTAAGTAGGTGTTTTACAGTCAAGTCAAAATATGTTAATAAAGATATATGTATATGTGTTAATAGTGCTATCAAGTTAACATTAGCTTTTTTGGCATTAACGACATTTCACTTGTTAATATAATTTTTTTTTAATTGATCTATTAACCTTCAAATTGTACTAGATATGTATATAAAATCGAAATAACATCTAGTATTTTTTAAAAAATATACGGCTCGCATCTTTCGTACAGTTCCATCTTTATATATATAATTCTTCTGTGAGTGTGTATGTCACTGAACTTCTCTCAAACGACTGGACCGATTTTGATGAAATTTTTTGTGTGTGTTCAAGGGGATCTGAGAATGGTTTAGATTCACAATTTGAATAATAATTTTCATCAAAATGGTCCAGAATGTTTTAGCTTATTAAAAAAAGTTTGAAATTTTCAAATTAAAGACGTGTAGACAGGACAACGTCTGTCGGGTCAGCTAGTAACATTATAAAGTAGGTACGTAATGACAAAGCTTTTTAAACATCTACCTATTTGCTTAAATTATATACGAGTATATCTTAGATTAGACATATAAATAATCTGAGGAGTATATATAATATGGATATATATTATGCGATTAATTAGCTAAGAGTAGGCAAAATATTACAGAGTTAGGCTTTTGGCATTGTTCTTTTCAACTTTTAAGTGTTGCTAAAAAGACATCGTTGTAACATATTGTATTTTTTAAAGCGTTTTTTATAGGTATCTTATAAAAAATGGAGTCTTTGTTTCTATTTTATAACTTTTTCTCCTCACGTGATATTTGAATATCTTATTTTCGTCTTAACAATTAGAAATAAAAAGGTAATATTTAAAAATAATTATTCATACACTCTGATCTGAAATATTACTTTGATTATTATATCTATTAACATTATATTTGCTATACTGCCTGTTGTTGGTTTGGATTCAAAAGCACAAAAAAAATGTGTAATGCCGAAAAAAGAATGTGTGAGTGAAGGTATCGCAGTTTGTCACGGTTAACTGGAAACACAACAGAACGATTGTTCTTCCTTAAGGCTTGAACAATAACCTGTTCGAGAGCGGTGATTTTTTTCCAAAATGTTCTTTCTTTCGAATTCAAAAAGCTTAATGGAATTTCGTATAGCACCATACGATGTATTGTACAACGGCGTGGAATGTGGATAAAATCAACAACGCACTAAATCTTACATACCCGATGACTGAACAGAGGTTGCAAAGAATATTTACTTCTCATGTTATGAAACACCGCGCAAAATGGATGAAATGTTTATCTGAAAAACATGAGAGCTGTATATTGGATTCCGATTCTTAAAGTAACTCTGAAACTAATGTATTTGCAAGGTAAGATAGCAATACGCAATACGATTTTTTAAGTGCAGGTAGCCAAGTAAGATGCGCACTGTCATAAATCTTTAATTCGAATGCGAGCAGTGGCGAAGCGCGATGTACACACGCCTACGGCTTCGGCGCGGGCATACGCGACTCTACCGTGCACGTTCGCCGCCCTGATCTGCACGTTCTTAGCATATCTGAATCTGTGTACACGCGGCGGCTCACCATCATTTCCTCATATGGGCAAAAATTGAAACATGGAAAATAAATATCTGAGTAGGCTATGCCTACGCGCAAAACGTTCCAAGCATTTGCTTTCTTTATATTAACCGCCTAAAAAGAGAAACGTCTTTTAAAGCATTTTTAAGTCATGTAACTTCATCAAACTTGTTTTTTAAAAATAAATTAAGACAATTTATGAATAAAAACAAAACGCTAAGTACAAATAAAAATCTGCTCAACTTTAGAATAACTTAATATTTATCATCCTTCCTCGTAAGAAAAATGTTTTCTTTTTATTTACAGACGCGGGACGATAGTTACGGCTAACCTATTATTTATTCGCGCATATAATAGGCGCTAAGTGTATATAAGAGCGTTGTGCCATGAATCTATATCTCCAAGTTATCTGACGACAAAATGTTTTATAAATATTATATCAGAGAAGCAGCTAAATCAAATCAACATTGATACTACATATTTATAAAAATATAGGTATAAGTACCAATTAGGCACTTATTATCTTCTTACACCAAATAAGTGAGAATATTGATAATTATAGCTACCTGCAGTACATATCTATTGAAAATCAATGCACGTAGTCCTAAACGCGTGGGATAATACAAAATATTTGAGAAAGATGCAAGTGACGGAGATTTTGCGCATCTATACCTGCCGCTGCAATCTCACGGCCTCGGCGCCTTAACAGGTGTGCACCTGAGAGTAAGCGCGCTTTTTCATTAAATACACATACATAATCAAACAAAACGTTCGGCATGCTCGCATAAGAATGATGCCTGGAGTCCGGGCCATTCATCGCTGCTCGAAGAATTCTTTTATGTGTATTGATCGCGCTTGGTGTTTTTTTAACGATTCATTATGACATTAACGATATCCGTCACTGTGAATGTGTACCTGAAATTCCAGGGAAAAATATTTATTTTATAATGTTATATAATATAATCCATCTCTACATCGGAACTATGTACATTGTATAAGGTACACTGTACAGTATCATTGACCAAGACGACTATTAATAATAAATTTGAATCTGTTAATGAAATACGTACTTGTCACATTTAATATATGTATAATGAATGTATTTGTAAAGTACTAATAAATTAACATATTGTATTATATTTTATCTAAATAATAATGCTCATTCATTACTCAGTGTATTTGGAGCGTATGAAATTCGAGACTGTGATTATTATGACACTGGTTTTTTTTTCATTTCAACATTATTATATCATGTTTGGTCAAATATTCCCTACATCAGCACACGTGACTGTCCCGCAAAAGACGCAACTACGCGACAGTCACGTGTTACAAATAATAATTGGCATCGCTCTTTGATTTATAAACAACTCAATGGATTTGTTATAATGAATTAATAAATCGAATATAATAATATTAAAAGTGCTATAAATATTACTTATCTATTACCTACTATCAGAAATATGTTACACCAACAATTTTATTTAACGATGTAGAACATGTCTAACCTTGAATTATTCGGATGAGATAAGTAGGTGATATTTATTCAGACATTTTTATTTATACAAGGATCTGTGAAATATCTAAAATAAACATACCGACAAGTCTCACTATTAGCTTTATACCATTTTATCGATAAATTTGTTCTTGATTTACTGTACCCATAAAGATAAACGTATATCCATAACCTTGATCTATACTTGCACTAGATATTGAAAAGTTTAACAAAATAAAGGTGTGTCAGTACTCAGTAGGAACACTGCATTTGGACATGAATAACATCACCCTATATTTTGCGTAATAATATTTATTTCTAAAGAGTTCATATTATCTCACAAGTTTTGATTATAAAAGTAATACATGAGCAACATCTGTGAAAGTGAAAATTGAACAATTGTTCTACCTATCTCATGTAAGTCTCCCAGCAAACAATCTTTGGCATTAAAATGACTGTAAACCAAATAGGGATTTTAAAGTCGACATCCATCTATATTTGTATGTTCCTATATTCCTAAATTTTGACGACACGTTTGGCTCAGTTTGTAGTGACCCTACTCACTTGCTGTGTCAGCGTTTTCGAGTTCGAGTCCCGCTGGGTGTGATGAGCACGAACGTTTGTACTCCAGTCATGGGTGCTTATATGCCAGCCTGGCTGCATAAGGTAGGTACCTACTATAATATATTGAAAGCTAAGATAAAACATAACTCCGCACAATATTATTAGAATGGTAAATATGTACAACACGCATGCAAAGCTAGAATACAATAACTAGTCATATAGTATAGACAAAAAGTTTATAAGTAATATTTGGTAGTTTTTTCAGCTCAGGTTATATTCATCTAAGCTAAATACAGTTTATTTATTATAATAATAAATAAATAATAAATGTTGGGACATTAACACACAGCGCCATCTAGGTCCATGGTAAGCTACGAGGCTTGTGTTATGGATACCAGATAGTTGATACACTACACATATATTACTTTAAATACATACATATTATAAATATAAACACCCATGACTGGAGTAAAAACATTCGTGCTCATCACATAAACGAATGCTCCCAGCGGGACTCAAACGCGCGACCGCTGGCACAACAAATAAGGTCACTACCAACTGAGCCAAACGTGTCGTCTTAAAAAATGTCAATACCAAATTACTAATACAAATGAATAAAATACACTCATTTCTAATTAACGCGGGTGTGTAGGCTGATTTAGGCGTACATTGTGGTGTCGGCTTCGGTTGCGCAGCGCGGGCGCACTGGCGGGCCGTTATCGACTACGACCGATCGCGTCGTGTTAATTACTTTCATTAAGGGCAATTGTCCTGCTCAATCTGGCTGATCGGTCAGTTTGCCGCCATCCAATATTTCCAGTCAGCGCCATTAGATTGCTGTAAACGTGATGAATTATACATGAAAGCTGTCATTGGATTATAGAGAGTCATGGTAAATAAAGCGCACACTAATAATTAATGTTTTATTAGATATTTATTATCAAATATTACTCAAGGATCAAACCATTTGCATAATATACGATTAGTTAAAAAAAGCACTACGTAAGACAAACTTTATGATAGCAGTGGTTGACGAAGAAATCTGGTGCCTGATGTTTAGAACCTCCTAATATCAGTCTACTAAGGATCAGATGTAACTGAAAAAACTGTAGTTGATATTGCCTGATTATTAAGTGAACTTATGTAAATCGTGAGTATTACAATTTACTTAATAAATACTCTATATCTAAATCTCAGTGTGTTATCACATTAAAGGTATTTGTCCCAGATTAAGTTCGTGCTGACTAATAATCCGGTACAGGTGAATTTCATTGTGTTGCTAAGTTTCATTATTTATAAACTAGTAACCAAAAAACAACTTTGTACCTAATTACTTAGACATTAAATTTAAATGAATTGGGTGTAAACTATATTCTGTGTCATAATATTTTTTTTAAATATATGCAAAACTAGTTTTCTACCTATTATTTAGTATATATTATATTATAGATATTACTTAAGAGTAAGTAGGAGGCATATGTTTATATATTCACTGTATTTATTCACTGTTCAAAGTAAATAATGATGTATTATTTCTCATTTTGTCATTTATTTAGTTAGTAGGTACTTTCTCAAAATAGTGTATATGTTAAAAAGCGACTTACCCTCTCTTCGCTTGGGTTCGCCCCTGTGGGTGATTCTTTAAATTGACATAACTTTTTTTTATGAACTAATTGAAATAAAACAAATACTAAACGCGCGAGAAAAGCGGATGTGTACATACCGCCTCCCAGCTCCCGCTGTGCATGTTATTTTTTAGCTGTGACCGTTGCCATAGCGACATGTCAACACATATAATTTAACATCCGCTTTCCGCACGCGAACATGAAGCTTACCACAGTACATTAGTTAAAACCGGACCGAAATCGGTTTAGCCGTTTTTGAGATTAGCGCGCACAAACGCACAGACAAACAGACAAAAATTCTAAAAACATTATTTTGGGTTCTATTACGTTAATAAAGACTCCCAATAGTAGCTTATACCAAATATCTTTAATGTACAGACAGCGATCAGTTACATTATATGAATAGATTTATAAAAGTATATTTACCTACTGTAAATATAGTGGGCGGAATCAGTTCTAATTAAATTATTAGGTACGAATTAAGAAAGTTATTTCGTTAAGAGGGCTAGCAAGTTAATTTATATAATTATTAATTAACTGTTACTTGTTATTACTTGTAATATTATTTGTTAGTTGAGTTGTAATATAAAGCTTAGCTAGAGTTTGCATTTCAAAATATTTTATATCTACCTATAGAGCTGCAAGTGAATCAATAGAGATCCACTTTGTTTGTTTGACTATATATTTCCCAATTCAAAATTCAAAGATAAACATAATATGTAATTTAGTCATACATATATATAATATAACCTTTAATACAAATATGCATGATAATATTATTAACTTTTTTTAAAGATTTAATTTAAAAAAGAAAAACATTTTTTTAATTAACTGTTCATAACTTTATTATGATGTATTATTTTTTTATTAACTCTCATTGTACTTTATAACTTATAAGTATTTACAAAATATTTATGTAATCATCATTTTATAATGCCTAAAACGTCGCTCCTAAGCAAATTGTTCGTAATCAAATTATTTCCATGTGTGACGTAATAATCCGTTACGTTGATAGACAAGAAGGGCGCCACGGAGGGAGGTGCGCGCGGGGAGGGAACAGCTATGTAGCTTTGGTTGCGTAATTTCGATCATCTGCTCGTCGCTCCAGTGGCGCAATTGGTTAGCGCACGGTACTTATAAGACAGTGTTCGTGAGCAATGCCGGGGTTGTGAGTTCGAGCCTCACCTGGAGCATATTTTTTAATACAATTATTTCACATTGTTCTTGTTACTTTAAATTAATAGATTTGAATATGTTTATTATTAATTGTGTGTATTTTTCAAATTCATGAAAGGGTATTTATACTTATATATTAATTATGATTTATTTAATATGTAAAATATGTACTAAATTTAACTGTTATGAATGTTTCTTAATGTTTTACCCAAAATTGGAAATAATAGCTGTTATTGTGCCGCTCTTTGTATAATTTATCATTTTAACTTGAACAGGAAATTAATACCCGCAAACAGTTGTAAAAAAAATTACATATTTTACATCTAAAAATGTAATATTTCAAAATTATGTATTTACAGTAAGTAAATACTTATTAAAACTATTATTTTATATCTCAATTTCACTCAACAGTATTAACATCATTCTAATTGGAAATAACCGTGTCCGCCGTTTGTTACGGCATAATGTAGTTCATTCGGTAGTCGGAGGGTACTCGAGCACGACATTAGTAACTAATCTACTCGGTGCACGCCGCGCGACCTCATGATCCTGACCTGTCCGACCCTGGCCCACCCCCCCGCACCCGCTCACTCCCGCGCATCGCACTCCACCTTCCTGCACTATGCACTGCTATATGTCACCTCTGTAGGCTTACCAAAGTAAACATCGTAGTTGTCAGGATAATATTTTAGGATAGAAGTTAACCAGCACGATAGAATGAGCAAAGTTAAAAAATTACTTATGTAATCCCCGAGATGGCATATAAACAGAATATTTCTCAGCGACATGTTTTTCTTAAGATCCTGTTAATAATAAAAATAATCATTTGGTTACCCTAGCTTAGTTCGAACCATTTGTTTAGTCTTGCCCTCATCTGATTATAACAATGGAACGGTCATTTATGACACGGAAACTCGAGTTACCTTTCTTCTAATCAATTTTATAAAAATATTCATTGGA